GGCTGAGGGCTGTGTGCGAAACTGCATTAATGTTTTCATTTACCCCTCAATTATTTAAATGTCTTCACACAGAGAATCGAGAATCAGAGCTCCCTACTGCATGTGCAGGCAATTTTGCCTTCAGTTCCCGTCAATTTAGACACGGATGCTAACCGTCATGAATATTTTCAAAAGTAAAACACTGTACATTTGTGACAGAGACACCTGATATTTTTTTAAATAACTGCATTTTTCACACAGAGTGCAATTACGAACCGACGTTTATACACTTATTGTTTGTAACACAACCTACTTTAATTCATGCAGGTACTATCAAAGCTTTCGAAAGGCAGATGGCTATATACTTGCTACATACAGTACGAAAATAATGCTCAGTATCTCGAATTTTCTATGATCTGTCTGTAGAAAAAGACAGTGCAGTATGTTTCTGCCCAATAGTGGCATTAAAAGATGCAGATGGCTAAACTCCTCCAGTTTACCCTACATATATATATTTGAGTTACGGTTATGAAAACCCAAAAACTACACTCCTGGAGGTCAGTAACCCACTGATGCACCCCATGCACTGAAACCTGAATGAATTCAGGTGTCTATAATATACCGTATTAATAAAGCATGTTTTAGTAAATGCCTATCCGAATGATCTGAGCTCTTTTCAACAGTTTAAAGAAGATATGAAAAGTCCTGAAACGCACAAATAACAATCCTGCAGGAAAACTCTCTTTCTTTATGAGGCAGTAAGGTGCTGTGCTTTGTAAACGAGAGCAGCACCAGCTCTGCAGAGCAGGCAGACACCAGGGGGTGAAGAGATTGAGGGGGGAAATTACTGAACGCCTTCCAGAAGGAGCTGCCTGTCGCTGCGGTACTGCGAGGCCGACTCTGGGCTCAAAGATAATGCAGCACACTCACAACAGGTGTGATAAACCCATTACGGCAATGCTCCACAGCTGGCATCCTCCTCGCGAAGAGCAACCAGACAGCGCAGGCACCAGCTCCCTGCTGGGCGAGGGAGTCAGTGTGTGTCATGCTGAACCAGTGGGTAGGGGTGTGTGTGTGTGTGTGTGGTGGAATTTGAGAGCGCAGCTAAAGACACCTGATTTCATGTACAAGCCCCATATTTTAACGTGCTCACCGCATGATCTCCAAAGCCAAGGAGTAAGGAGATTGGGAGTTAATTCACTCCTTCTTAATGGTTTTCTGGTGGTGCAGTTTTTCTTTTGGTTAAGATATTGACAGATTTATTCGGAGGAATATTTTTATCCCATTTATGCTTTCTAGTTCGTATTAGCACTTTTCAGGGTGTCCTGCTACTACAGTGTATTTCCGCAAACCTGGATTTGAGGTTCTGCACAAAGTGAATGGGCTTTCCCTATTTGTTAGCAAAAGCTTGACTAACTTTGGCGCACTAGGCTTCATTCATAAGAATGGGGGGAGCACCTACACAAACCCACCTTCGTCACCCACTCTAGAACTGATGGCACCGTGATCTTTGTCAGGGCATCCTTCTGCATACCTGGCGAACACCTCAACCATTGACACTGTAATTAAGGCTTTGTGTGCATAGGAGGGAACTGGACACGGACTAGTTGTGTTCTGGTACTGCTCTCTGAGCCCCTAGGTGCTCCTGTGATGCGTGGTGCCAGACTGCCTACCACATGGGTGAGTGTCATTTATTGTGTCATTCCTTTCTGTCCTGCAATGCTGTATTCTGGTAGATGTCGTTATGACATGTGTCGGTAATGGATACTTTGGTTTCTGTTTGTGTATTTAAGAAGGCCCAAGTTTGTGTCTCCTCTCCACCCCCCCCTCCAGAGCACAAAGCCTCTTCCTCCCTGAGTGAGGGATAAATACCGTCTTACTGTCAGGCAGCCATAAGCACTGTATGAATCCACACAGCCAGCCAAGCAGCAGAGTCAGGCAATCCCCTCACCCTGTCAGTCCAGGGCTGGGAGGGCGATTAGCAGAAGGTTCGGGGTTAAGGATGGAAATGTAAACTGTACAACCCCACCCCCCCAAAAAAATCCTCCTTTTCCCATTGTATTGTATTGAATTGCATCGCTACAGAGAAACGTGATGATGATGATGATGATGATGATGGTTAACAGAGGTATTGAATGTATACACCCTGTCCTCTGTCTGTGCAGGGATTATCCAGGGAGGTTAATACAACTCTGTCTGTGAGTGGTCCTGAGAAAGAGACCTGGACAACTGATAGGAACTGGGGTCACCTTATCATTGCCCTGCATTTGCACAGGGCAGTCTAGGGGCGCAGATATCACTACAATAGAGCCCCACAGAACACCAGCACTCACTGGAGCACACAGGATCTCAGGTCCATACAGACATACAAGGAGCAAATGCAAATTGGTTTGGAAAGAACTACTGTATTTTACACTTGATGACCACGTTGTTAATTTAAGGTGTCTGGAAGAATAAGGAAAGTATCATGATATCTTGACCACTACCTCTTATGACAAGTAGTTTTCTGTTCCTTGCTACACAGGGGGGTATCACAGTTATTATTATATATTATATATCTCATGAAAAAAAGTATTCCAGTACTGATCATCCTGTCTGACGTGGTGAGAAAGACATCCTTGGTTAGTCCCCTAATTTCTGAGTATTTAAAAAAGTAGTCGAACAGTGCAGTGTGCTATGACAAAATAAGCTGATGCAAGTAACCTGTACTTGTTGGTGGATTTGCTTGCGATGCATCACTGATGGCAACAGCACTCCTGGCTGCTGTGTCAATTCAGACAGCCTGGAGCGTTTGCAGGCAGTGGATAGATGATAGGAAAAAGGGTATTGTACTGACATACCACACAGAACGGCATCAGCTGGTGTTGATTGAATGGTCCCTTATCTTTAAAGGCATCTATAAGCACCTAGAGGAATGAGAGCAGTGATGTGTGGCAGCTGTAAAATCTGTTTTAGGTGGATTACATTACATTTTACATAAAACTAGAAGATTATACAAAAGGTTACTCATTTATTTGTCAAATATTTGCTTTTTTGGTGGTTAATAACTTGCTGATGTCAAGCTGCATCTTGAATGACCCTGGTGAATCAGACTCCACAACAGGATTATGTAGTTTTGTTCATGCACTCACAACTCTTTCTGTTAAAAAGGAACTGCTCCCTATTGTCCTAAATGGACGTGCATATGATACGGTCAAGCCGCTGTATGACATAGCTATACTTTTGCATGGCTATGGGTGCATCTAAGCTGTTTTACTGCTCGACAGACTTAAAACCATCCTGGATCCAGAGACTATTGTATTTTCACATGGATTCAAAACCAGATGTTATAAGAGATAACCAGCTTTAACGTGCTGGCAAGACGTTAGCTGTATCAATGATCAAAGGAAAAGGTGCTCCAACAAATGCATGATTAGACACACACGAAACAGCAGCATGCTGGTGTGTGTGCTTGCTCCGGTGCTAAGCATCCCTGAAACATTTTCTGATGCTTTAGGAATGGTCTGTTTCGGAGTTTTTGAGAGCATAAGATAGTGCAACATTCACGGCCAGCTCCGTACATTATACTCCCCCCTCCCCTCTTTTTACATCAAGCCGCAGAGATAGACCCAGAAGCTAAAGCCGTCTTTTCAGCCCGTTTCTCGTTCTATCTGAGACGCGCAGCGAGCGGAGGTGTCACTTTCCTCTGGCATTTCGGACAGTATCTACTTATAGAAAAGAGAAAGAGAAAAGAAAAACAGAAGGGGTATTATCAGGGAGGGATGAGAGCAGCAAAGGCATTTTGTCTCTTTATTCCCCTCCTAAGCCCTGGGCTTTGCTCCCAATCCGATTGGACGATACGGCCAGGCATGTAAATGAAATGCAAAGACGAATAAGGCAGGCTTCCCATCTCCATCCCTCTCCCCCGTCTTTCCCTCTCCCCTCCTTACTGCTTTCCATCTCCAGCCTTTTCTGCGCTGCTATTCTCTCTCTCTTCTTCCGGCTGTTTATAGTGCCGTGTCTCTCCACTCCCCATTCATACCTCTGTATCTCTCTCCCCCGCGCGCTCTGGCTGGGCTCACAGCCCTTATCAGCTCAGACGCCCCACATTCCTGTGTTGCTGTGGCTGCCTGCCTACATCCCCGGTCACGGCAATTCCACGGGTTCCCACAATCCCACAGTAATCCCAGCAGCACCTCGCTGACTCGTGGTGGGCAAGTGACACTCAAGAAGGAGAGAGAGGGACAGGGAGAGAGAGGGACAGGAGGACAGGGACAGAGGGAGAGGAAGGAGAGAGAGGGACTGGGAGAGAGGAGGACAGGGACAGAGGGAGAGAAGGAGAGAGAGGGACAGGAGGACAGGGACAGAGGGAGAGAAGGAGAGAGAGGGACAGAGGGAGAGGGAGGAGAGAGGGACAGGAGGACGGGGACAGAGGGAGAGAAGGAGAGAGAGGGACAAGAGGACAGGGACAGAGGGAGAGAAGGAGAGAG